GCTAGTGTTATCGTGTAGAGCACTTGATTTAGACTTGATTTTAATTAGGCGCTAGTTCAGACGTGCAAAAAGAAGAAGAAGAAGAAAAAGAAGATTTACCTCCAGTATCGTTCTTAAAGATCATGAGACTAAACAAAGATGAATTAGGTTATATCTTTATTGGTACTCTCGGAGCCATTGGACAAGGATCTGTTATGCCTGTATTTGCTATACTTTTTAGTGAAATTATCGCTGTAAGTCACTACCTACAATACTACAAAAAGTTGCGATAAGTAAAAGTTTTCTGAACTCATTTTACAAACAATAATATTATATATTTAGGTATTCGCCGAATGCGATCCTGTAAAACGAGAAAGCGATGCAACATTTTGGAGTTTAATGTTTTTAGTATTAGGGTCTGTCTCTGGAATATCAGTATTTTTACAAACGCTTATGTACGGAATTTCAGGCGAATATATGACAAAAAGATTAAGATCACAAACATTTAGGGCAATCCTAAAACAAGTAATACAAACATTAGGGATATTATACACGTATATGTAAATAGTCGCTTAAAAGAATTAAATACTAACCACGATTAGACGAAACCTCAATTTATAATAATATTTACGTAAATATCGTAATAGGAAATCGGATGGTTTGATGAACAGTCACACACTACCGGGGCTTTATGTAATCGTTTAGCTACTGATGCTTCGGAAGTTAAAGGAGCTACAGGAACTCGTTTAGGCGCTGTAATACAATCTATCGTATCTATGGTAGCTGCCTTAGTAATAGCGTTTGTGTACGGCTGGAAACTCGCTCTAGTAATTCTTGGTTGCGTACCTTTCATCGTTGTTTCCGGTGCTATTCAAATGCGAGTCTTCATTGGAGGTGCAAAAAAGAACAAAGATGCTGCCGATAAAGCTGCTGAGGTCGGAAACTTCAACGATATAAAATGTGAATTTAAGCTGTTATATAAGCATTTTTACTTATTTTATCTCTATTACAGGTATCTACTGAAGCATTGGAAAATATTCGTACTGTTGAATCACTAAATTTGGAAAACAAAATTATTGCTGCGTATACTAAGAATTTGAAAGTGATGTTACGGTATAGCTTGAGCACAATATATACGTTATCTATTTCGTGCTTAAAATAACTAAGAGTTTTTCTTTCATGTAGTAAATCGTTAATTCAAGCACATGTTTACGGTCTTGCATATGGATTCTCTCAAGCCGTTATTTTCTTCACTTATGCTGCCGCTTTCCGTTTTGGAGCTTTCCTAGTTGCTAATAATCAAATGAATTTCGCAGATATGTTCAAGTTCGTCAAGTTCTAAATTAAACACTACTTTAATGACTTTTAGGAGATTTCTTTTAAGACAATTACTTATCATTTAACAGGGTATTTTCTGCTATTGTCTTTGGTGCGCTTTCGCTTGGTCAGACAAGTTCCTTTGTACCAGACTATTCTAAAGCGAAACAGTCAGCAGCTAGGCTCTTTGCTATTCTCGAACGTGAATCAAAGATCAATGTCGAAAATGAAGGTGGAGAACGAACGGTAAATACCTGTATAATCTTCCACAAAAATTTCTTATTAACCATGAGATTAACGCAATGGTACTGTTTTTTTAATACACACGAAACAGAATGAGAACGATACTACCATTAAATTTGAGAATGTTAACTTTAATTATCCTACACGTCCAACGATACCTGTACTAGATGGAATTACGTTTAAAGTAAAACCTGGCCAGACTATTGCTCTTGTCGGTACTAGCGGTTGTGGTAAAAGTACATCGGTTGCTTTATTGGAACGATTCTACGATACAGCTTCTGGCAGTGTTGTAAGAGCATAGCTATTTCTGATTACTGTACCAATATCGCGCATTTTCACTCTTTTCAATACTACTTATAAAATATAAACAACATATAGTATATTTAATATTCAAAATACATTGGATTTTAATATTACCTTAATGTAGACCGTCGGTGGAAAAGAAATTAGGAATATCAATATAAAATGGCTTAGATCATTAATGGGTATTGTACAGCAGGAACCTATCTTATTTAACACAACGATTGCAGAGAATATTTCTTACGGAGATAATTCCAGAACCCTAACTCGAGACGACATTATAACTGCTGCAAAATCTGCTAATATCCATGATTTTATTCAGGGTCTGCCTGAGGTATTTAAATACGACATACATAATATTTTTATGTTATTTTGCAATTATAAATATGAACTTATTATGATAATGATATATTTGCATTTTAGAGTTACGAAACTTTAGTAGGTGAAAAAGGTACACAGATGTCAGGTGGTCAAAAACAGCGTATTGCTATAGCTCGTGCTCTTGTTAGGAAGCCGCGTATTCTTCTGTTAGACGAAGCCACATCTGCATTAGATACTGAAAGTGAAAAGGTAAAGACTATTTTATACATTATAAACTTTACTCTATTATATTTTTAGATTATCTTATCGTTTTTAAACTATTCATAATTAATTATAATTAATAGATAGTACAAGCAGCTTTAGATAAAGCTCGAGAAGGGCGTACTTGTATCGTCATAGCTCATCGGTTATCTACCATTCGAAACGCTGATGGTATAGCCGTATTTCAAAAAGGGAAGATTATAGAATTCGGTACACATGATGAATTAATCGCAAAAGAAGGCGTTTACTTTAAATTACAGAACACTCAAGTTTAAGGGTGTAAAATGAAACTACGATACAATCCAATGGCGGCTCACCTTTTATCAACTTGTTCATTCATAATTGATAACTTATAAAGTACGAATTTCAAGGCTATTAAACATTTCAAAACGATCAAGTATAAATACGGTTAAAATCCATCTTACTCAAAATTTTTATTCTTCATGTGTATGTAGTACTGATTGGTTTATTAGACTATTTATCAGATTTTATCAAAATTTAGCAGCTAATCTCGTAACGAAAGATTGTACTACTGTACAAATTATTAATGCATTCTACTTTTTGTAGATTTCAATAGCGAAGTTATTATCATAAATTCAGTATATTAGCAAGGGCAGTTTAGACAATTACTTTAATTTAAGCTATATTAAATTACTATATTGCTATTACTAGATCTTTAGACTTACCTGATTTTTTTACTTTAATTTATAACATGTAATCTCGATTGTTCAGAGTAGCATTTGTGTGAGCTGTGTTGAGCCCTGAAGTCTATTCGTTGTCAACATATTATCATTAACTAGTAATACTAAACTGGCTATCTTTAGATTGCAAGTATGCTGTTGCTAATTAAAAAATGTTAACAAAGTTAATTATGTATAATTATTACTGTTTATCCTTTTGATTAACCTTCTCATGAACTTACTGCAGTGTAAAAATGCTTTTATCGTGCTATCACCCTAAGAATTTATTAGATGTTCTCATAAGGTTCAAGAAATTATGACTCGTACGAATACGTTACCGTAAATTATGTAGCTGGTAGGTAATTAGTTGAAAATATATTCACAGCACCTAAGAGATTTTGAATTAATCACAAAAGAAGTCGAAGCGAACTATTATTTATTTACTATTAACACACAAAACCGCATTCTACAGTAGTAGTCTGACCTTCCAGGACCTCTATTGCTGCATACGTTATATACTCACTCTGCATTATACTTGCAATGCCTTCGCATTATTTTATTGCTGACATTACGAGATACAACACAACATAATTAGAAAATATTAGAAGACTGATAGTGATAATACAGTATTCAGATTGTCTGGTGCGCGTTATGCTTGCCAGCAATCGATGATACTCAGTTTGGTTCCATAGACTTTTTTTATCTCTATAATCCATTTTAGGATTTACAGAAATCCATGCAGCTCTCCTTTAGCTCTGTAATTGAGGCATATTCGTATGCAGTACTTTAATCACATTAGCTATTGAATGATTAAGCTCAATCTAATACAGTACACCACCGATTCTTCGGCCACCCTACTCATGTCAGCATCCTATTGATTTTCCTAGTTACACTTATATTGTATGGTGTCCTATGCAAAACTTCAATAATAACTGATTTAGTAAATTATCCGGAAGGGTTGTAGTTTTATGGTGACCGTAAAATTGGTGGTGTACTGTATTAATCATCATCAATAACAATAACATAAACGGTGCTATATACTAAACTCAAACAAAATATATTTTAAACTTTTTGCATATAAACGGAGTAGCAAGCAGCATATAAGTGATTTGGTCGCACTACGTTACAGAATAGAACTAGAATACTATGACACTATTCTTCACAAAAGAAACGTAGAGTACTGTATAGCACGCGTAATAATAAGCGAAGCATAGACCGAGGTAGTCAATTAAAACGCTTTGCCCAAATTCCAGGAGAGTACTGTATTACGCCGGTGGTGTTTTTTTATGTAATAACATATACAGTAGATTATAGAAATCTCAGTGGCATCTGAATCAATCTTTTCCGAAGCGAATAACTACGATCATAATACCGAGCACTGTCGTGTGATTTCTCAGATTTCTATTAAGTAGCAAGTTTATTAATTAATTCTCTTGATTTATCTAATTTACTGCTAATTTAATTAATTCATTAATGTGAGAATGTCGTAGCCAATGGCAACGATGAATAGAATCAGATTGTGATTTAATGACTTCATCAATAATGTTAATAGTAAAAAGGCGTGNTATCACTGGGGATGCGCTGTATAGTTCTAATTCAGGGTTAACTCCATTTAATTTAATCATTTACAGTAACGTAATTTTTAATAACATCATGACAATACAGGGATACTACATTTTATGTCTATATCTGTTTATACTTGTAGCATATTTGTGAATCTATCTTGACAGTTGTCTCTGTAAACAAGCAATCCTTTCTATGGCTGAAAGCAGTAAATTCGTTACATACTATAAACTTAAAAATAATCATCACATTAAAACTGTGATACAGCATCTCTGTCAGCGAAGCGATAGAATGTTAAACTAGTATACTGTTAAAATTAAAATAATTTCGATTGTTAACCCTAGCTGTGATCTACTAAATTTACTCCAATACGAACAATGATATTTCATGAATGTTTGTTTATTGGCAATAAATTTGCTTGGTGATAGCTAGCCCTGTGGTACGAAAATTGCCACTTATTTAACAGAAATTTGTTATCAAGTGCATGTACATGCAACAGTACCACAGTATTTGTGCTATTTTAGCAATTGTTTCCATTTGCTATTTCTGCTAACCTGTACGATATAAATGGACACCGATTGACAGTATATAATATTATAGGAAAGAAGATGAAGTTATTGAAAAGAGTGTGCCATATTTTCAATTGGTAATTAAAATGATAGCATCTTAAGAACGTGTTTGGTTGTGCAAATACAATATAATTTACTGCAATTGTCAACCAACACGGTGCATAGTATCATTACTTGATTGATTATATTAATGCTCCATGAACAAGATTCGTAATAGTATCGTAATTACACCTGCATTCAACCTTATTAATAACAGTGATAAAAAGTATGTGTCATTATAATTGTACCATATAATACTAAATTCGTTATCATTATGGTTCCTGTGATTTACTTACCTATTAGAATCCTTAGATATCATATTGCGTAAAGCTGAAGCAGTCGTTGTACTGTAAGATACTTATTTATAAAATCTTTTAAATCTTCCTTGCATGGTGATATTTAACTATAACTTAAAGCTTAAAATGCAATGTGGATATAAGCATTAGAATTTCACCTTTTAAGATTTTTACTGGTATGTTACAAAATTCGCTATACTTTATCTCTCAATGTCTCATAACTATTATTTTATTTATTTTTGATACTCACAAGTTCCGATATGCGAGTTCAGTTGATAAATTTCTTATGGTCATTGGAAGCATATTTGGTATAGCTAATGGAGCTTCTATGCCGTTAATGATGTTAATCTTCGGCGACCTGACAGATTCTTTTATCTCATTTACCCAATCCGGACCTGCTGCAATTAATATATCAGCAATCTCAGGATGTAGCAATGTTTCGTTAGTAAATACTGCAACAAATACTAGTATTACCGCTGTAAACACTTCCATTGCGTCACAAGGCTTAGAAGATAGTGTCCATCGTTTCATGATATATTTCATAATCTTGGCCTGTGCTGTATTAGTTGTGTCCTACCTACAGATATCATCGTGGGTAATAGTTAGCGAGAGGCAAACCTACCAGATTAGAGTCAACTTCTTTAAGTCTATTATGCGACAAGATATTGGCTGGTTCGATACACATAAGAGCGGAGAACTTATCACTCGTTTATCAGAGTTAGTAACGAATATATTACAATCTTTAAGATTCAATTACATTTATCATATAAATTTTTAATTTCATTCATAGTGACATCAACAAAATTCATGACGGTATTGGGGATAAAGCTGCAATTTACTGCCAATGGATGGCTGCGTGTATTGCCGGTTTTACTATGGGATTTGTTCGAGGATGGAAATTAACGTTGGTAATCATAGCGATAAGTCCGTTATTAGCTATTGTAGCTGCCTTCATGTCAAAGGTAAAGATCCATATTATAATTTACATCACCAAAATATCAATTATTTTTAACTGTGTCTTCATATTAGTAAACTCTATCTTTAAAACTTTTTTTAGCTTGGATCTGCATTCACTAATAAAGAATTGGAAGCATATTCAAAAGCTGGCGGAGTAGCAGAAGAAATACTTTCGTCAGTTAGAACTGTAGTTTCTTTCGGAGGAGAGAAAAAGGCCTGCGAGCGGTAATTTCTGTAATATCAATTGACATATATTTGAAACTGTTATAAATAACCTAAAGATTTTTCTTAAACTTTTTATTATACCCATCAGTTATGACGGTCAACTAGATCATGCATTACGCGTTGGTATTAAGAAAGCATTTGTTACAGGCACCGGTATTGCACTTACGTTTCTCGTAATGTTTGGATCGTATGCTCTAGCATTTTGGTACGGCTCTACTTTAATTGCAGCTGGAGAAATGTCTGGCGGAACAATTCTTACGGTTAGCGTTTACGGATCAACAAGATCTATCGATATTAAACTTACTATAGTATGATTTACTACCTATAGAAATTCAAGCGATCTTAAATCTCTTTTCTCTATTATAATATCATAGGTATTCTTTTCAGTGATGATTGGTGCAATGTCACTAGGCAACGCTGCACCTTGTGTAGAANATTTCGCTAACGCTAAAGGAGCTGGAGCTGTCGTTTTCGAAATTATCGATACTGTAAATAATTACACTATTTCTATTATTAATAATATATATGAATTTAATTTATATATAGTATTACACTTACAATGGATTTATATATTTAGATACCACCTATCGATGCATCTTCTGACGAAGGTGAAAAACCATCTAATGTCACTGGCGATATTCAACTTCGAAATATTAATTTCACATATCCAGCCAGGAAAGATGTTCAGGTTTCTTTCTTTACTATATCTATATATATTACTATCATGCTATTACATTTGATAAAGTACTGTAGTAATATTATTATCAAGTCTATAAATACAAATTATTAAAAGTTATGATATTTAATTTCCAGGTTTTGAAAAACTTTAATCTTAACATCAAACATGGTCAAACATTAGCATTAGTAGGAGGTAGTGGTTGCGGTAAGAGCACTGTAGTACAGTTAATTCAAAGATTCTACGATCCACAGGACGGTTGTGTAAGTTATAAATTTTTATCGTAAATCAATTAACTCTACAGACTATTTATAGAACAATCTAAATACTAAATAAACTCATATAAATTGCTTTTATGACTTGTATTTAGGTTGAAATCGATGGTTGTAACATCAAAACTTTAAATGTCAGTTGGCTTCGACAGAATATCGGAATTGTTAGTCAAGAGCCTTGCTTGTTTGCTACTACCATCAAAGAAAATATACGTAACGGTAACGAAAGCGCTTCCGACGAAGATATTACCAAAGCTGCTCAAAATGCTAATGCTTATGATTTTATTAAGGCTTTACCAAAGGTATGATCTTATATATTATACTATTTTACTAAGTATAAACTGCAATATTATATATTATCCATCAAAGAATAACACTCATATACGATTAATAATTATAACCCATTTTATAATTTAATTTAAAGGGTTTTGATACAATGGTCGGTGAACGTGGGGCTCAACTTAGTGGAGGACAAAAGCAACGTATTGCTATCGCTCGCGCGTTGGTTAAAAATCCCAAAATTTTACTATTAGATGAAGCAACTTCAGCACTAGATAATGAAAGCGAAGCCATAGTACAAGCAGCTCTGGATAAGGTTTTTAATAACTCACAAAATTTTACTCGTCAATACTAAAAAATACGATAAATTATATCGATAGTTGAAATACGTTTATATTTTAGAATAATTAACTATTATTAATTCTACTACTATAAAATAGGCACGCGAAGGTCGCACAACGATAGTGATTGCTCATCGCTTATCAACCGTAAGAAATGCAAACGTACTCGCTGCGTTACAAGATGGCGCTGTCGCGGAACTCGGTACTCATGATGAATTAATGGATGTAAAAGGAATCTATTACGAACTTGTAACAAATCAAACTTTCGGAAAATCGGACGATAACGAAGATGAAGAAGAAATCGCACAAATCGACGAGATCGCAGATTTGAAAAACGCTTCGTTCAGAGCAGGATCTCCTAAGGTTTTAGATAATTCAAAGAGAGGAAGACAATCATCCGTATCAAAGCAATTATCAAGACAATTTTCCTCCAAAAGTTTGTCTAAATTTTGTTGTTTACATTAATAATGCTAAGTGTTATCGTGTAGAGCACTTGATTTAGACTTGATTTTAATTAGGCGCTAGTTCAGACGTGCAAAAAGAAGAAGAAGAAGAAAAAGAAGATTTATCTCCAGTATCGTTCTTAAAGATCATGAGACTAAACAAAGATGAATTAGGTTATATCTTTATTGGTACTCTCGGAGCCATTGGACAAGGATCTGTTATGCCTGTATTTGCTATACTTTTTAGTGAAATTATCGCTGTAAGTCACTACCTACAATACTACAAAAAGTTGCGATAAGTAAAAGTTTTCTGAACTCATTTTACAAACAATAATATTATATATTTAGGTATTCGCCGAATGTGATCCTGTAAAACGAGAAAGCGATGCAACATTTTGGAGTTTAATGTTTTTAGTATTAGGGTCTGTCTCTGGAGTAGCAGTATTTTTACAAACGCTTATGTACGGAATTTCAGGAGAATATATGACAAAAAGATTAAGATCACAAACATTTAGGGCAATCCTAAAACAAGTAATACAAACATTAGGGATATTATACACGTATATGTAAATAGTCGCTTAAAAGAATTAAATACTAACCACGATTAGACGAAACCTCAATTTATAATAATATTTACGTAAATATCGTAATAGGAAATCGGATGGTTTGATGAACAGTCACACACTACCGGGGCTTTATGTAATCGTTTAGCTACTGATGCTTCGGAAGTTAAAGGAGCTACAGGAACTCGTTTAGGCGCTGTCATACAATCTATGGTATCTATGGTAGCTGCCTTAGTAATAGCGTTTGTGTACGGCTGGAAACTCGCTCTAGTAATTCTTGGTTGTATACCTTTCATGGCTGTTTCTGGTGCAGTTCAAACCCAAATCTTTTCTGGAGGCGCAAAAAAGAACAAAGATGCTGCCGATAAAGCTGCTGAGGTCGGAAACTTCAACGATATAAAATGTGAATTTAAGCTGTTATATAAGCATTTTTACTTATTTTATCTCTATTACAGGTATCTACTGAAGCATTGGAAAATATTCGTACTGTTGAATCGCTAAATTTGGAAAACAAAATTATTTCCCAGTATTCTAATGAATTAAAATTAATGTTAAGGTATTGATTGACTACGACGTTCGTATGTTCAGGTATCTTATTGACCAATAACCAAGTGCTTCCATACTTTATATAGGAAATCGTTAATTCAAGCACATATTTACGGTCTTGCGTACGGATTCTCTCAAGCTATTATTTTCTTCACTTACGCTGGTGCTTTCCGTTTTGGAGCTTATCTAGTTGCTAATAATGAAATGACCTTTGTCGATATGTTCAAGTTAGTTAAGTCCTAAATTAAACACGCTACCTTGACAGTATTTACAGTTAGTAGTAGAATTCTCTACTATATTTAAGATATTTTCTTATCGTGTTACAGAGTATTCTCTGCTATTGTCTTTGGTGCATTTACACTTGGTGAGACAAGTACCTTTGTTCCAAACTATGCGAAAGCAAAACAGTCAGCAGCTAGGCTCTTTGCTATTCTCGAACGTGAATCAAAGATCAATGTCGAAAATGAAGGTGGAGAACGAACGGTAAATACCTGTATAATCTTCCACAAAAATTTCTTATTAACCATGAGATTAACGCAATGGTACTGTTTTTTTAATACACACGAAACAGAATGAGAACGATACTACCATTAAATTTGAGAATGTTAACTTTAATTATCCTACACGTCCAACGATACCTGTACTAGATGGAATTACGTTTAAAGTAAAACCTGGCCAGACTATTGCTCTTGTCGGTACTAGCGGTTGTGGTAAAAGTACATCGGTTGCTTTATTGGAACGATTCTACGATACAGCTTCTGGCAGTGTTGTAAGAGCATAGCTATTTCTAATTACTGTACCAATATCGCGCATTTTCACTCTTTTCAATACTACTTATAAAATATAAACAACATATAGTATATTTAATATTCAAAATACATTGGACTTTAATATTACCTTAATGTAGACCGTCGGTGGAAAAGAAATTAGGAATATCAATATAAAATGGCTTAGATCATTAATGGGTATTGTACAGCAGGAACCTATCTTATTTAACACAACGATTGCAGAGAATATTTCTTACGGAGATAATTCCAGAACCCTAACTCGAGACGACATTATAGCTGCTGCAAAATCTGCTAATATCCATGATTTTATTCAGGGTCTGCCTGAGGTATTTAAATACGACATACATAATATTTTTATGTCATTTTGCAATTATGAATATGAACTTATTATGATTGATATATTTGCATTTTAGAGGTACGAAACTTTAGTAGGTGAAAAAGGTACACAGATGTCAGGTGGTCAAAAACAGCGTATTGCTATAGCTCGTGCTCTTGTTAGGAAGCCGCGTATTCTTCTGTTAGACGAAGCCACATCTGCATTAGATACTGAAAGTGAAAAGGTAAAGACTATTTTATACATTATAAACTTTACTCTATTATATTTTTAGATTATCATATCGTTTTTAAACTATTCATAATTAATTATAATTAATAGATAGTACAAGCAGCTTTAGATAAAGCTCGAAAAGGGCGTACTTGTATCGTCATAGCTCATCGGTTATCTACCATTCGAAACGCTGATGGTATAGCCGTATTTCAAAAAGGGAAGATTATAGAATTCGGTACACATGATGAATTAATCGCAAAAGAAGGCGTTTACTTTAAATTACAGAACACTCAAGTGTAAGGGTGTAAAACAAAGCTACGATACAATCCAATGGCTCACCTTTTATCAACTCGTTCATTCATAATTGATAACTTATAAAGTACGAATTTCAAGGCTATTAAACATTTCAAAACGATCAAGTATAAATACGGTTAAAATCCATCTTACTCAAAATTTTTATTCTTCACGGGTATATATAGCATCGATTAACTCATTCTACTGCTTAATAAATTAAATTAATTAAAACTTAACTGCTGCTCTTGTCGTGAAAGATTGTCTATTGTACTGTACACAATTATTAATGTCTTCTACTTTTGCAGATTCCGATGACGCAATAGTGTAGTAGCATAATAAGAGCAGCTTTTAGACAATTTATCTAAGATGTGTTAAATTATTATGATGTTGTTACTGAGTCTTTACATTTATGATTTTTCATTTTAATTCATTACACGTATGTGACCTCAGTTCGGAGTAACACTTGTGAGCTGTGTTATGCCATGAAGAATTAAAAATTCATTCGTTTAATTACCAATATACTGCGATCAGCTAGTAATAATATTAAACTTATTCGCTCAAAAATTGCAGGGATACTACTGTCCTTAAAAGTTTAAAAGTTAATGATGCGAGATTTGACTATGATTTATCCTTTGATAACCATAATGTAGAAATTCTTAACCTCTACCTATTAATTTGTTATCAAGAACGCTTTATTATGCTGTTACGTGGCGGGTCTAACAGATATTTCCAGAAAGTCTGCAACTCATTCTATAATGTTATGTATACTTGATTTGTCATCAAGTCCTCTCCTGCTATTCTCAATGACTAGTTTCGCCATGCGTCTTAGCATAATCCCGATAACATAAAAGATTATATAGAGATTATCATTTACTCCCTCAACGCGGACATGTACTGTAAAAAAAATTCGAAACAAATCCGAAACCTGAAGGGAAATTTACGATACAGTACTGTGCTGCACTCTACTTCTATGCCCATTTACAGTTCGTTACTTTAATATTCCAGGAGCGTTACGCCAGTCGTATTTTTTTTATAGATTTCGATAGATACCGTAAAGAGCACACGCTCACCCACTCACTTGGTGAATGTCGCACAGCTTCTTAATTAATAATTCTCCAGAATTTACCTTAGAAAAGTGAAAAAAAATTGGCCTTTTATTGGACAGCAGTCCGGTATTTTCTATTTTCTAATTAATCAAAAGATTATATCTAGGCAAAATTATTGATATGCCCTTATATCTTGTCATCTGCCATACAGTACAGTGTACCCAAGGGAAAAACTCTGAGTCGAACGGCTCTGCCTCGAAGACACATTGAGTCGAGTCGGACCGAACTGTTGCCGATCGCTACGGCCTGATGGACAGATGTTTCCAGCCTCAATTCGCCCAGATACTGCATTGTGCCAAACACTTTCGTTATGGCAATACTTCAGTATGCAAAAAGTCGACTGATATTTTCTCAATTCAATTAAGTCATATTCCATTAAATCTTATTATCTATTACAAAGTTCTGCTTGAAAATAGTTCTATAAGATCGTAGATACTATTTAAATTAGTACCTGTGATTTCGAAAACCGACATGGAAGATTCATATTTAAATAGTCATTTGGCGATATTTACGGCCTTATTTGGGAAGATAAGTCCGTCTGTAAGGAAGTCATCAGTCCGGCTCTTCTTTCTAGCAGTCCATAGTACAGTACAACTAGTACTGTTACAGTAGTGTTCGCTGAGGATCGAAGTGTTCTAAATCTATCGGATTATAATTATATATACAACTTCAGTTTGTGGCACTGCATCATATATATATATATATACAGTGGATATATATGTTATAAATAGCTAGCGTACAGTAGTCAGTCAATCTGTCAAAAAGAGTAAACGTAATCAGAATTATTCAACTGGACTATTCATGACCAGAGATTGCGAATTATGGAGCATACGTTGATAGAGCAGTTGCAGCAACATCGTTTGGCAACTATTAAACGCGATTTTGCAGTAAGTAGTATAAACGTTAACAATTACTAGCTAAGACGACAATCACTAATTTTGAAATCTTTTCAAAGCTTGTTTGGAATTGTAAGATAGACACACATGTCGGTCATAACAGTCACTACATCTAACCTACAGTGATGTCCTTCCATGGATGTATCGAGTACATCTTCATATCTTGCGAAATGATAACTATGGCTACCATTCCTATAGTAAAAATAAGTTATCTACTGTCTAATCATCCGAAGTGATATGAAATTATTATGCTATAGACCAGACTTAATTTCAGCATCGATGTTGCAGATTTAGTTCGTGCTTATAGTGATAGACCTTGCTTAATGAAATTGAATATCAATACAGTACAGTCACTAATATTGCACAACACTTTGCCAAAAGTGAGTAGTGAGTATTAACTAGTGTTGTTGCGGCTATAGGCTTACTGGCCAGTAGTAAATGGCAAAATAGCATGTTAAATTCCATGCTAGAATTTGAAGCTACACCGTCCATGAAGAGGCAATGGACATACATGTACTGTACAACAGCACAGGCTATATGCTTAATGGCAAAGTAGGACGTTAAATTCCATGCTAGAATTTGAAAGTACACCGTCCATGAAGAGGTAATGGACATGCAAGGACTATACTGTATAGTACAGTAGAATAGACGTGTAGTAATAAACATCATCATAATAATACCTCTGTTAGTAATTATCTGATCGTGGAAGCGTGAGTGAGGAGACAAAGAGTACAAAGTCTTTTTCCATGCAGGACATGAAGACTTGTGCCAGATGCGCTAATTGAAGAGAATGACATATCAGCACTATATGATATAATGTAGCATACGAGTAGACGCGTATACAGTACAGTATATCTACCCATTACTCGTATTTACAAGTATGTTCTACGGAAATAGAAAGTGAGTAACGCATATGCCATCTAGGAATACCCAAGATAATTGATCCGATAATCTTATATTGCAATCATTCTACTTTAGTATCAACCTTGCTAGTGCAGTACAGTAATCTCTCAACCTCGTTTGTTGTACCTTAATAAAGTAGACTGACTGCATTGACAACTCTGCAATGAATACTAACAGAATCCTGCATAAAGTCATGATTAAATATCTCGACGTTGACATCATTTATTATACTGTACACATTTCAGTCAATAAGTGACTGCATCTGCAACTGAATAAACATTATCATCCACATATTGCCTAATCACTCATGAAATGTCAATACACATTCGTATGTAGCATAATAAGAATAACCTCCTGAAGTTATTGATGATTGTCGGTAACTTACGTATACTGTGTATACTGTATATACCCTGAACTCATTTACGTAACTTAATCTAGTAACAAAAACTCAATTCCATCGAATTCATGATTTCATTTCACATCATAATTGCAATTCCCATTAATTATTACTATAAGTAGCAGAGAAATTGATATGTGTATCAGAATTTACTGTAAAGTCAGAAATTAATTAATACTACTATTGCTGATGAAACGATCCTAATAGATTTGAGACCATGTCTTGTACTACGTTGAGTATATCCTGATCTTGATTAGCCGTATATAATATCAATGAAAGTTATCTAATCATGAAATAGTTTAATAAAAGTCTCTTAAAAAACCTTCAAGGGATCTTAGTCGTATTATCATTTAAAAAAGACAATAACATTACATGTAAAATTCTTACGCATTCGTAGAAAGACTGCATTATAATTATTGATTAAAACTGTTATCTTTATGCTAACTATAAATTCATCCTATATTTACAACTAAGTGCATTTACTTGCTTATACTGACAATATCAATACATTTACCACATTCAGTTAGCTAAGACCAAACTGAAAGACTATGTAAACAACCTGTTACTTTGGTACCGCCAAGATGATGGTTATGCAGACATTTACTTAAAGCGTCTACCAATAGAAACACTTAAAGCAATATACCATGAGACATTAGCTATTACCAGTTCCCAGGATATTACTGAAGAGCTGGATTGGTTAATTACCTTATCTGAATTCCTAGAACTAGTTAGCAGGTTAGGAAAGTACTTAATTTTTATATAAAATTTTTTTACATGAAAAGCGTGTTTACGCTAGCTCTAAGTCTGATATATAATGTCTACAGTATAACATGCGATATCATGGGCATAAATTGTAATCGAGAAATTTTGGGTAATACCATTTTAATGCAATGTATGAATTCCTTCCGTTAAAATTTTTTGCATAGCTGCTGCGTGTACATGCAGTAGCAGAAATTATTGCTGAGCCTCAATGAATAGAGTAGCTTACTAATTGTATATTCACTGTAAAGTATACTCATGCTTCTCTTGCATTGAATACGATATAGAAGTTTTACAATGTGAATATTATAGCGTACACGGGATAAAATTCTGTAATGAATTGATAGTGAATCAAAACCGTATCTTTAAATTTAAGCGATAGCAGCTAAAAATATTCTAATAAACGTTTATTTATTCTGGCTATTCTTTACTATCAATTCTTGATTTATCGAATGAGTAGTACAAAATCATAGTCGCAATCTACACTTATATAAATTAAATATAACAATTAATCAGATTGTATTAACAAATAATTGATTTATTTATCTATTAGAAAATTAAGTAACATCGAAAAGTTGCTTCAGGTTCATTGTACGGAAAGAGCTACATACATTGCTTGCTCTATTTTTGTAAAAGTAAGATTTAACTATGCTTATTAATCCAGTAAAAGTATATTACTAGCTAATATACCCAGTAGCCCATGAATTTCTTAATAATCAACAAATTGAATTGCTGTATTATCAGAAATCTAGTATCCACTATTATTTATATACAATTTCCTTTTCTCCATTTATCGTCGCTCATAGATTGGTGACAGTGTCGACATGGCAAAAAAATGTAAATGCATATTGTTACATTTGATACATTATCTGCAGCATATATATGATCCCCATCAACTATGGAAGCATTTCTCATCTAGGTATCATTAACTGTATATTAATATCC